CAAGTGCAAGAGATGGCATGAGCCCTCGCAGTTGCCTCCTGTGCTGGCAGGCATTGGCAGGGGTGTCTCAGGCCTGTCACAAAAGCCTGGGGAAGGATTTATGAGTATTTTCTCAAAATCCTGTTACTTGCAGGAAAAAAATGTTCCCGTTGGAGGTTTATCACAAGATGGTAAACAGGGGAAGTGAGTTTTCATCTGCCATAGCCAAAAGAGCTGGTGGATGGGTGGTGTTGGTACAGACCTGCTTAGTCATGTGGCAAGGAGATTGCATTGTTAAACCTCCACGCATGGTGGCTCCATCCTTTCAAATCCTGGTAACACCTAGAGGTGGGATGGGAGTGGCACCTAATTAGGAGGAGTTAATAATTTACTCTTTTGTGAGTGACAGATGTGCTAACAATATTTGCACTGCAGGCTCTCTCCCCTTTCAGCATAACTGCTTTAACCTGTTGCATGCTGGTGATTTTAGGGGTGATGGATGTCCGTGACCTCACAAAAGGAACATCTTTTGATTGTGAAGGAATTGTCATATAGTCTTTGGCTCTGTGGCTGACAACCTTTTCTCCCCAGCCTGCAGTACTGTCTATGCCCGCATGCATCCCCTGGCTATTTCAGCCAGTCTTCAACAGCTGTTTCATCTATACTGCACAAGGTCCCTGACATTTTCTGTTTAATTGCTTAGTTTTCTTTCCAGAATGTGTTTAAGTTGCTTTGTTTGGAAAACAGCCATGGAAAGATGCAAAAAAAAAAAAGAAAAAAGTGTGGTTTATTGCACATTGTGAAGCTGTATCCCTGGTGTAGGGATTCATCTGAGGCAGGCTGGATTCCTTGCTGCCACAGCCTGACCTGCCCTATGATCACTGTCAAGCCTAAAATTTGGTGTAAAGTCCTGAGCATCTTCCAAGCTGACAAAGTCCTATTTGAAGATGATTTCTTTATGGTTTGGCACAAAATAATTAACTGAAAAATATATATCACATCCTTCTGGAAAAATAGATCATATTCCAAAACACCTGCTTCCCTCATAGAAATCACAGTCTCTGATCTGTGTAACGTAACACCAACAAATCCAGGTCACTGCCTTTATTATGATTAGGGATGCACATGCTGCATTGTTTCAGCCTCTGCTCAAGGCCCACTCCTGGTGCCCAAGCAAGCAGGGTGGAGAGAGCCAGTGGAGGGAGTCAGGCTTGGTGCTGGACATCACGTGGCAGGGTCATGTAGAGCTGGGACACTACCATCAAAGGCTGCAGTGGCTTCATTGCATTAGCATGATACAGCAAAATTGTGCAAAATTAGCCTGTATCAGTGCTTGATCCTCTGGACAGATTGTCTTGCCTTAGTAGAAGTGTGCTTTCAGCTATATGGGCCCTTGTGCCTTGATGTGAACCACAGCTTCATTTACTGTGAGAATTCAATTCTGCAGGTCTAGGTTATTTAACGGGCATGACTAATCCATCACAGTTTACTTTGGATTGCAGTTTACCCAGAAAAGCTCCCTCAAGGGTAACAGGGAGCAAGGGGCCATGCACGCCTGGTCTGAGTTTCCACGTTCCTTCCCACCCTTTGTCCCCTACTGCTAGCACCCATCCATGGGAGGTGATGGTCCTTTGGTGACACTTCTCCAGTGCAATTCAGGCAAAGAAGCTCTCTTGAGACTTCCCCAGCTGTAGTGGAGACAGCAGCTTTTCACTGAGCCCTTACCAAAGTTTAATATGCACAGCCCAGTGGCTACCCATAAAACAGAACAGAAAACGGCTCCCTCTCCTCCAGTGATCCAGTTGCAAGGGAGATTATATGCCTGTATGGGAAATTCCAGGGGAAGCACAGTTTTGTGGGGGTTATCTGAGGGCACAGCCTGTGTGTAGTCTTCTTTTCAGGTGAGGTCTATACAAGGTGTGGATTATTCTCATTTTTTTAAAAAAAAGGGAAACTTCTGATTTGCATTTTAGTAAACTGGCTTTCTGATGCTGTTTCCTTGAAACTGCTATAGACATGATGGCAGAGGGAAGAGCCATTGCCCTCTCCCATGGCAGGCAGAAGCTGCTCCATTCCCTGGGAGGCAGAGGCTGAGGGAGTGCTGGACTGGCAAAGAAAGGGCCGCTTGCAGCCACACAGACAAACCTCTTTGGTTTGCTTTCACTTTGGTTATACCTTAATCCTGTGCCATTTTTCAGGACCAAATACTTTCTGACTGTTGGTGATTTTATTTTCGTTTTAAGCTGACAGAAGAAGGCATGAGCAGAGTCAGTGAATAAGCATTAAAACTAGACAAATTCAGGCTCAGAAAAAGGTGCACATTTTTCACAATGGGCATAGTGAACCATCAGAGCAATTTGTGTAGGGATTCAGTGGCTCTTCCATCACGTGAAGACTTTAAACTGAGCCTGCATGTACTATATAATAGGCTTGTAGCAGACCAGGCAGACTTGATTTGGAGTTGCTCGAGTGAGATAGTTTTTATCTGTTTTGTGCAGCTGGACAGAGCAGATGGCCAGAGAAGCAATGAAAATAACTCCCCCTAAGAGTTCTGTGTTTAAATAAGCAAACAAACAAACCCCTTGAAAATTATATTCATGCATACAAATAGATGAAAATTACAAGTCCTTTAGCAATAGTAGAAAAGGAAATGTTTATGTGTGCTGTAACTGACAGCTTTTGATACTCCAGACACAGGGTAATTTGCAGGAAAGCATGGTAAACTGCTTGTGCTGAGAAGGACAGGGTTAAGATGTAGTGATTTTCGGGGGATGACCCCCACACCCTGCAGTCCCATGGTGTTGGCAGGAGCAGACCTCAGTGATGTATCCCTGCTCTCTGATTTTTGGCATCCCACCCACACCTAAGCCAGGTGCGTCAGCTCTCTGAGACCCAGCAGCTGGAGGGGTGTGGAGCAAGGCTGCCCCAACTAGGCAGCATGTGGGGAGGCTGAGCTCCTCTTTAAATCAAGCTGCCCAATGTGGGTCAGTCCGTATAGCCTTCTGAGTGCTTGGATCAGGCCTCTCTCTACCAGTAGCCAACCTGGAGTGCCACCAGCCCTCCTGAAGAATGTCAATGAACAGTTGGAGCTCTTCATTAGAGAGAACCTAATTAGACATTTATTATTTATGTGATTTTAAGTTAATGGCCTGGCAACAAGATTTATTTCTCAACTTATTTGTTTCACAATGTGGTTTTTTCAGCAATCAATTGATATTTGGTTAGCTTAATAACTATCTTGTTAGAATTAAATTAAATGCTACTCTGATTTAACTGTATTAAAATAAATGTTGTCATTGTTAATTAAATGCAAATAACTATTTAAATTGTGGCAGTGCTTCATTGAGTTGCCACTGTTGGATGGAAGGATGTTGAAGAATGTGAGGAGAGGGATGGCAGGAGGTGCTAAGAGCTGGGACCCCCAGCCAGCACTGGCATGGCAAGTGGAAACTTCCCTCTGTCTCCATCAAGTCCTGGCTGATAACGACAATACTGTATGAAAGCAAAGTTTCTCTGATTAAATAGGAAAGATGTTTTTTAACTTTCACTCTCTGACATGTCCACTAAGCTAGAAAAAAAATAGTCTGGCTATGAGCATCTAGGAGCAAAGGCTGGTCCCTGATATCTGAATAAAGGTTTTACAGACAGTGAATTAAATCAAGGGATCTTCAAGCTTTCCCTGCAGCGTGGGACAAAGCTTGACAGAAAGATGGTCCCCATGCTTATTCATTTCCCGGCACTGTGGGGTCCCACATGCAGAGGCCTGAGTCCCCCACCTCAGCAGACATGAATGGAGGTAGGGATAGCAAGAGGACTCCTCTGTAGGTTCCTGCTATATAAATGCCTGTCCTTCCAACCTCCCCATCATGCCTTATTTCTCTGGCAGGTAGTAAGCACAGACATGGAGAAAGTTTTCAGTGAGTTTGGACTGGAAATAAGGATTAGAGAGCAGATAAGCAACCCATTTGCCATAAACTTCTGCTACTCCTTAGGTCTGAGAAGGAATCTCTGGGTGCAGGCAGGGGGTTACCAAACACAGGCAAGCTTGTCTTCTTCAGTGAATCAGAGAGGCGTAAGGGAAGGCTGTGGATCTTTGCAAATCTTTCCATCTCTGTAGAAGAAATCAGTGATGTCCATACGAAAGTCAAAATGCATTTCCAAAGCTTTCCATGGATATGGATGCCTACACAAAATTGTAGAAACAGCAGCTGGAGTCATTGGGAAGAAAGTCCTGATGTGTTGCCAAAGCTTTATACTGAATCTACGCAAGCTAAAATGCATGACGTGCAGGGTTGATCTAGCTTCCTTTGCAATCAGCGCTGATACTGCTTGTGACTGCAGCAAGAGCTGGGGCAGGGCTGCCGTTGTGAGACAAGGAGAAGGTGAATGCAAAGCCTTCTCTCATAAGTAGGGTCAGTCATACGTCCCTGCATTCGGAGGGGTCCGAGTGTTTCCCAAACCAAAAGAGAAAGTGAGGACTTGGTGCTGCACGAGCAACTGGTTTTGTCTATTTTAAATGTGCAAATAAGTTGTCCATACTGGTTTTGTCTATTTTAAATGTGCAAATAAGTTGTCCATTTGTATCCTTAGTGGCCAAATTTGTGTACACAAGTCCTTGTTAATGAGTTGCAAGTACTGCAAGAACACTTGCATGTACAAAGCTGGAGCAATGCCCACAGAGTAACCCTTGAAATAAGTAGCTGTAAAAATGGTCAGTCACAGGGTGAGTTCCCAGTCCTTCTCTGTAAAAGCATGAACAGATCCATGCATTTAATATTCACACAAACTATTAACCACCAGTGGTTCAGCAATGAACAAACTCAGAAACCATGCTGCAGTTTGTAACACTTGTATTTTTGCCCACTTGTATTACCAGTTACTGACAAAACTGCAAGGAGCACACATGCATGCTATAGGGAGAAGTTATTCAAGATGAAGTACAGTACTCTATCTGCATTCCACCCACAGTCCAAACACAGGCATTTCATCCCATAAATGTGATTTCTTTTTTTTCTTTTTAGTTTGCATTTCTGGATATAATGATGCAACAGATCTAAACCTGGTGATACAACAGACAGGATGAGGACTCAGGAAAAAAACAAGGGAGTGAAGTTCAGCTCAGAATTAAATGTCCAAAGATTTAAACTTGGTGGAGTTTTTAATAAAGTTAGATGAACAACATATGATGCCTTGTGCTGTATTAATCTTCCAGCGCTTGATGCTTCACGTGATTTTCCAGCAGCTTTCATTTATTGAATTTCCTGCTTAGATTTTTTGGTGAAAAGCAAGGAAGATTATGAAACATCCCCTTTTTAATTCTAATTTAATTGCATTCAATTAGCTAAATACATCATTTGCTACAACTTCAGTTAATACATTGTTAAATATTATTTTTACAATAGTGTGCCAAATGACATATTAATACTATTTGGTGTCATTAGCACTCGATTACAAAAATATTTGCATACTGCTTATTAGGATGTGATATGGTGCGTTTCCGCATTGGCTGACTATGTAGGTGACTAAGGATTGTGAAATAGTTCTCAACCCATACCCTGGATTTTAAAGCTTCCAGATTTGTTTGTTCATTTTTAAAAATAAAAATTAAATTCAATTTCCTGACACAGTTTTTGTGTCATGGATTTCTAGAATAAGTGCATTCAGCCTTATTCCTGTTCAGGCTACACTTTCATAATTATACTTAGCCTGCCCCAATTCCCTGAATTTTAGTTTCCTTATTCTTCTTTAGTTTTTAGTCTGCCAAGAATGATGAGGGGAAAATTGATCCTGCCTTGGGAAAAAGGGATTGGAGTAAATGACTTCCATGAGGCCTTTCCAACCCTGTTTTTCTTTGATCCTGCATGGCCTGGAGCTGTCATGCATCCAGCCAGCTCATGGTGGATTCAGAGCAAACCGGTGTCCACAAATGGCTGAAGCTTCTGTACTGAGAAAGTAGCAGTGCAGATCCAGCCATTACTGGGTGTTTTTTTAACAGTTCTGCTGGTGAGACAGGGAGATGCAGGGCTTCCTCCTGGGTCACTTGTCCTCTTGTTACCACTGCTGCCCTAGTACTGGGTCGGTTCCCCGGCCTCCAGGCTTCTTGTTGAGCCCTATGGTTCTTGATGCCCTCTGGCTGGAGGGGGCTACTGGGGTGCATGACTGCACCAAACATTCTTTGCTGGTGGGTCTGGGTCATACAACATTTGACAGTAATGCACTATGCTGCAATTGCAGAAAATTTGAAGGTGTTGCTTGATGTTGCGCAGCACAAAAAAACAGTGGCAGCTTGTGCTGAGGCGTGTCAGCCAGTGGCATACCGGTGGCATACCGGAAACATCAGGATAATGCAAGAGGGACTTAAGGTGCCAGATTTCATCCTAGGTTCAAACTTTGTCTCTCACAACAGAAGGGACGGCTCACTCCAGGACTTTGGTCTGGTCCAAAAGTGATGACAGGAAGCATTTGCAAACTTGAAATGACATTTGGCTTTCCAGGGCCACCCAGTATTTGGGCTTGCCTTTCTAGGTCTACAAGTACTTCCAGGTGTTTGGGGCAGAGCCATATATAAAACACCCTTTTCAAGAGCAATAGCGCTCTGCCCCTTGTGCTGTCTGTAGCATGGAAGTAACAACAAACAGGAAACCTTAGGGATGAGGTTCAGACAGAAATATAGGTTCTAGTGACTAACTGGAAACACCAAAGATTAATGATTAATTTAGAAAAATCAAAGTGAGGTGTTACTTTAATTGTGGTGCCAAGTTCTGAGTTGATTGAACTGGAGGCTGGAGCTTCTAGGTGTGCTGAGCAGATACCACAGCTGCGGCAAAGCAATAGCACTTGGTATTTATGCAATATCCTGACATTTGTAATTCGCTTTGCAGTAGCTGCAACTCAAGAAATGCACAAGCTCTGCTCCATAGCTGCCTTTATTCTTCTTACAGATCATCCCCAGCAAGAGGGGAGTTTAAGCTACATTTTACATCAGTCCTTGAGCTGAATACCTGTATCTGCACTGGCGGTAACCCCAGGCAGGCAGTGAGGCTGTGAAGGCTGTTTGACAGCTGTGGGGTGTAAGGATGAGCTCACTGAGAAAGAACAACTGCTTTGGCTTTTATTGTGTCCTTCTGGAATTTTGTTCAAAAGTAAAACTCCAGGATGTTTTAGCATCTTGAGACAAAAGTGTTTAACAACACATCTTAATAGAGTGAAAAGTAAGTAACAACAGAGAGCAAGCAGAGAGAGGTGAGGTGAACATGAACTAGTTTCCGCAGCCTTTGACAGCTCATCTGGTGGGAATTATGAGTATTTCCCACTTCAGATTATCGAGTGGCTAGACTGAAGCTGGGAAACGCTCCATGTCTAAATCAGATACAACAAAAGGGATATTTGTAGTCCTTTGTGTATTCCTTTATTGTATTCTTTTTTATTAATTTCCTGACACTGAAAATATTTGGGGTAGGGAAGACAAGGTTTCACATCCCACACTCTGTACTACTCTGTGGTAGTCACTCAGGGTGTTGGGGTCACCACATCCATGGCAGGTCTGTGAGGCTGCATTGTTGGCTTTGGATGAGATCCTGGCATTGGGTACTTTGTCTGGATCTTCTCCATGATCCATCACATTCTTGAGCCCAATGCTGATCAGTGAGAATAAACTGAAGAAATAATTTACATTTAGTTTACCAGCAGGGAAGGGTCACTGTGAAGTACCACCAAATCATTTGCTAGTCTACAAGGAATTCAGCCTGCCTCTTCATGTCCGGACTGACACTCAGCTGGTTCTGGTTTGGCCCAAAATCTAGGCTCCCAGAGGACGGCCACTTCCTCAGCAGAAAGCACAATGAGGGCAAAACTGCAGGCTCTTTCTCTGCAGTCTCGGCCCATACATAGCTATGCGTCTGGCAGACAGCCTGAATTTATAACCTGGTGGCAATACGTACAGTCCCAGTTTCACACATACAGTCAGCATTGCTAAGGGTGCCTTGTCCTGCCCTAGTAGGGAAGGATGAAAACCAGAGAAGTGCTTGGCCCAGGGGTGTGGCTTCTCCCAGCTGGCCAGGGCATGCTGAAGACCAGTTCTTGCGTTGGAGCAGCCCAAGGAAATACAATTAGGTCTTAGCAAATTCAGAAAGCAGTGTTTTCCTTAAAAAGCTCCAGAAAGATGCTGAGGAAGAGGGTGATCCAGGTGACTGGAGATGCTGGTCCAATCAGCTGTTACCTCTGAGCTGGTCAGCTCGGCCAGATCCCTGCTCCCAGCACAGCTCCTCTGTCTAACAGAGATGTTTATGTGGGGTGAGACCATGCTCTATGGTCTGAATGTGCCAAGGAAGCCAGGGTAACCTGCTCAGACACCTGAGAATCCCGTGCCTGCCTGTATCCTACCTGCTTTCCTCACTTCTTCATGCACCTGGGTTTCAGTGGGGAGAAGCTGCAGGGTGGTTGGCCTCCTCGCACCTTTGACTTCTTCAGAAAGTGTGTGAACAAGGGCTCTGCCAATGGAGAGCAAACAGGGGATCAGGGAGACTCTGGGCAGTGATTACAGCTACTGCAAGCCTTTTGGTTGTATTTTTTGTTAGCATTTGTAATTACTCCACTAATTGTGAATGTCCTTTTGTGCTTTTTACCTGAAGAGAAATGATACACAGTAGACTGGGAAACATCTCCTGTTCTGTAAAAAATCAGACAAAAAGAACCAACAAAATCCCAAAAACTGCTTGAAGGCCTTTTTCTACTGCAACTATTCTAGTATAAAGGGTTAGGAGAGCTGGGGGGGGGGGGGGGTGGGGGTGGGGGTGGAATTTCAGCTTTCAGTATATTTTGCCTGTTTTGCTTCTAACAAAATCACGTTACCATTAACACCGAGGGACATATTACTTTACAGATTGCAAACAACCTTTTTTGATAACTATTAAATAAATCTAAATGTGTCCTAATTACATTTATTCACAGCAGTTAATTGGAATTAATGTTACTTTTCCGTTGGAAATCTTTATAGCAAATTTAGCATTTCCGTTAGTTTCCAAACAGGTATGTCCTAGAAAAAAAACATATCAACAATTCCTCTGAGCCTGACTCTCTCCAACTGCAATCCTTTTACACTGTTGCATCCATCTTTTGTAAACAATGTCACTCTCTCCTGTTTTATACCAGTGCAGCTAGAAATAGAATTAGGTCTTTTACCTCCAGTCAACGTTATTCGGCATTAATCCTCTTTGGCAGAGGCAGCAGCCAGCTCAATGCCAGCTGTTGGCAGGTTGCTGGGAAGCACTGGAGTTGGTGTCAGTTTTAGGAGCTGCAAATGCACAGAGTGTTTAACAGAGAAGTATTATAAATTTCTTTGAAATGAGTGAGTGCACTTAAAATTTAGGGTAGCCATTAGGATGGGCCCTCTGTACTGTCATGAGCATTTGGTAGCTGTTAAGGGAGGAAACTGAAGATGAATCATCTATTTTTTCCATTCTCATGCCAAGTTACTGTATTAGCATCTCAGTATCTCAGTTTGTCTGTAAAATGGAGAAGTTACTCACCTGGACACTCCACCACAGAGTAGTGAGGCTTATCTAATATCCTGCAACAGTGATGTTGTGACTGTGATTATACCAGCCTCCATCAAAAGGGCTGGAAGTGGTCAAAGGAGTGTTATCTGTAAAGGGAAACAGAACTGTGGTGACCTGTCAGAGGGGGTAAGCAGCAGGAGCCAGGCTTCTCCATGCCTCTCCTGTGGGGCATTAGGTACAAAGTCTGGGCAAGCAGTAGGGACACTGCCTAAGGGAGGAGTCTTTGTGTACATTCTGAAATACCATGGCTCTGCACACAGCACACAGCTTTAGGATGTTGGCTTGCCTGTGTGCAGGGGTGGCTCCTGCGGAGCCTTCTTGGAGGGACTGTGGGTGAGATCAGCCATATTCTCCTTATGGGATTGGGGCTGGTTCTGTCTGTTGCTGTAAGAAGAGAAATATCCATAGTGCTCCTCTCTAGATTTTCATAATGCAGTTGCTTATGTGCTCTTCCTCGCCTTGTTCTCCTCTCAATATAAATCTACATTTTCCCTCCTTCTAAGCAAAAGGCTAGTATTTCTTTCCATCCCACACAAACTAAACCTAGAATACCTGCAGTTAGCTTAAACACCACTAACAAAACCTCTGTATTTTGCAAAGAGTCGGAGGCAAGATGATGTAAAGTGACTCATGGTTTATATGCAAGTATATGAAAGCCAAACTAGCCTTTGGATAGCTATGGATAATTCTTTCTGTCCCATAAAGACTGGTAGTTCATACTGTTTTTCATATTTTAGTTTTTGGGCTTTCATACCTATTATGGTATTTACTTAAAATAACAAGCTACGTGAGTCTGTCCAATTCCCATGAACCCCACTGCCACTGTTCATTACAAGCTATGATTAGTGATAGGATTACATTGTTAATGTCTGCAGGTATTCTGAATATTAGACCTGTCTCTTGTATGTAGCTCTCCCTTCTGGTTACCTGGGAGTTGTCTCTTGTATTCCCTCACCTCAACCTTTACCAGCCAGAAATTATACACTTGTAAAACAGGCGTGCTGTTCCGTTACAGTGAATCAATGGCTTTGCTCTCAGTCCTCTTTTTGTGTGCTATTAAAACCAAAAGTTTTTCTACATGCAGCGTGACTGCTGTTGCTGATTGAAAGTTTGTGTAGATTTTGTATTCAATCCTCAGCACAAAGGCTAAAGGTTAAGTTTGCTGGTGGCTTGTAGTTCCGACGTATGTGTCTTTGAAGCTGCAAGTGTGAGAGGAGGACACAGCACTGCATCTTGGATCCATCTAGAAAAGTACTGGGTGATGGACTAGAGTCTGGTTTTCATTTGGTCTCCTGAAGACTGAGTTTTATATGCTAGTGCAAGCTGGCGTTGACTTGGACCATGTTTCAGGTGCTCAGCTGAATTTTTGGCCAACTTGCGATGTAGATCTAATGTTCCAACTCATCTGTAACATCACTAGAATACAACTTAATTTTCCTGTTATCCTG